AAGAAGGAATCGAAATTGAATAACAAAAAAACAGAAAATGTCCATTATTACCGCAGCCAGAAGCAACAAATCGAATGTCTATTCCCATGAGAGGGCGCAGTCTCGTCGGAGAAGCAAGGTTCTCCTCCGGCGAAGTCCTCCGGCGTCCCATTGCATCCCACGCCGTCGTCCCGCAGAAAAGCAACTCCCCACCCTGTACCTCCTCCGTCTTCTTCTCTTCCTCCATCTCCCGCCAACTCAAATCAACCGCTCAATAAAAAAAAAAAAAAAGAGATCCAAAATTCCAAACAACCGGCGGCCGGAGACCCTACAAGCGCCGAGCGAAGAGGCAGTGGGATGATTAACCGGGGGAGAACGACGAGCCCTAGATTTTGAAAAAGGGAATGAAACCCTACTGCTACAAGTGGTTGTTTGAATTTATTAGGTGAATTTTAATAACAATTTAATGGGGCAAAAAGAGGAAAAGGGAGTTGGGTATGATGAAAGAAAGGAATTCTTTTACTTTGCTAATAATAAATGAATTTTTATTTATTGGTGTTGATGTGATTATCAGTTTATTTCGAAATTTTCTTTGAAATTAGTAGATTTTATTGGCTTTTTATAAAACATATTTGTTTGGCAGGTGCAATTTAAAAATTCCCGCTATTTTTTGCCTTGGATAATGCATATGAGGAGCATAATTAATACAAAACTTTCTTTTTATTTAGGTTCTTTTATTTATTTGCAGATACATATCTCTTATCTATATCTATCTATCTATATATATATATATATAAAGAGGGAGTATATAGAATTTATTGCTAAATATAGATGATATGCAATGACTATAACTGGCAACATTTCTACATTTGGTTGGGTAATTGTAATTGTAAGGTTAATTATTTTTGTTAAGAATGTCAAATAATTAAGGGAAATACATTAACATAACTAAATTCGTATTCAATTATTTTTGGTAAATTTTAGGAATGGAAAATAATAAGTAAAAGTTAACTTACTTAATTAATTCTGTTTGGAAATATATTAATATTCTTTTACTATATATTTAAAAATGTATAACATCAACTACGGTCACCATATTTCAATCACTTGATACCTTAAATATATTTAATATCATGAACTCTACATATGTCATTACTATGTTTTTTAAGGCAGCAGTATTAGTTTATGCTAACATAACCATACGTATTAGTTTATTCTAACATTACGCATAGATCCAAAAAACAAATTAAAAAGAATATTTATTATGAATAATCTATTTAAATTAAGTTATTAGATGAATACATGATAATGGTGAATGCTGGTAAAATTTCAAAAATGATACACCAAGTTGAGCGTTATCAACAAAATAGATATTTTGTTGTTTCTCGCGGAAAAAAAACATGTAGTTGGTGATTTGGTCGGAAAAGATACATTAATCACCCCACTTGGATAAAAAAGCTAGCGTGGCCGGATTAGATAGTGACGTGGCATTATAACTTTATTTAGTTCATACGTGTTATATACGTGGCGTGATGTGACATCATTATCTCAAAATACACAACTACACATAGATAAATAAAAATAAAATAAAAAAAAAAATCCAAAAATAAATAAATATAAAGACACATTAGCAAAAAAAATAACAATAATTATAATAAGAATAAAAATAAAAAAATAGAAAAATTAAAAAAATCCAAAAATAAAAAATTTTTGTTCTATTTCCTTAACTATATATTAATAAAATATTTTTAAAATTATATTTCTT